GGTCATTCGTAAAGCCAGGCCAGTCTCTTTAAAATGCTCTTTAAAAATGGAAGAGGGAAATGATTTCTCTTTTCTTTTTCCCCGCGCGAGTTCGTAAATTGAAATTTTCCGTTTTTTTTCTTTGGCACTGCTTTTCATTTTGCATTTTCTTTTTTTTTTTTTTATTGAGAACTGACCGGCATTTTGCGATTGAACCCTAATTATTAGGTAGCACCTTCGTGAGTCAATTGTTTTTTATTGCCGTCTTCTATAAACGCTATAATTTTTTTTAAGCACCAATTTTTTTTATTTTTTTGTAATGCAAATTTAGAAAATTATTTTTACATTTTGGATTATTTTTGATTTTTCTAGAGTTGTAGCAAATATATGAATTTTATCTCCCGACATTTTGAATTTGCATCTATTTCAATTGGTTTCATAAAATTTACAAAAAAAAAAAAAATTAAGGACAAAAAATTTAATAGAATTAAAAACTTGAATTGAACTAAAGTTAGGAAACTTGAGTTCAATTTAAGTTTTTAATTTTATTAAATTTTTTGTCCTCTAGAATTTGATATTGGAACACATTTATTCTTTTCGAATTCATAATTAATCTCCAAATTTTGTTTTAGTTTTTTTTGTCCTCTAAATTTAAATTGGAACATATTTTTTTGAATTTATTAACTCAGGGGAAAAAATTCAGATCCAGTTAAAATAAAAACGGTCCAACTTGTCACTTTATTATTTATAATTCCCTAAACAGTAAAAGTGGAACCAAAGAGAAAAAAGATTTTTTTTTTTTACGTAAATTTCATTCTATTGATCAAAATTCGGAAAAAATATCTTTATTGCCTATTTTTGAATTCTGAGGGTAAAATATTAATAAAAAAAATGGTGCTAAAGAGCGTTGACGGCAATTTTTTTTAACGCTACAAATGGACAACAATAAAGGAATATTAAAGGATTGTATAGACCGTGCAGTAAAAGACGTATTTTTTTTGCGACTTTCGACGACGAATCTATATTACATATAGATAAAAGCGAATATTACAAAAGTCCTACTTGAATTTTTGAAGAGGAAAAAAATTAATAATTTTGGATTTAAAAGGCACCGGCACTTTTTTCGGAAGTACAATATACTTGCGAACTAGTTTCGAATCAACTGTAAAAGATTTTACCAAATTTTAATTATTTTCGAAGATTTCAACAAATTTCAATTGTTTTAATAAGATTTTATCAAATTTCAATTATTTTTTAAAAGATTTTACCAAAATTCAATTGTTTGGAAATTTTTTAATTGTATATATATATAATTGAAAAATTATTTAAAAATTGAAAAATTGTCTCTTTTTTCAGTTTGCTTTTAATTTCCGTTTTTAAATTCACTTTTACTTTGTTGAGTTCAAAATTTGGATCACAAAGTGCCTGGTGGGAAATTAGAAAAAAAGAGGCTCTTAACTGAACTTCTATTTTAATTATAAAAGAACATTTTTGTCGTTAAAGAGAAAATTTGAAAAACTGCATCTTTTTTGTACTTCCGTTTTCAGTGCACCATGTCGCGACTCTTTCTTTAACGTCATATAATTCTAAATTGTGTATATATAAAAATCGCTACCGATCTAAATTTCTTTTTCTATTTAAATCGCCAGATTTTTCGTTGGGAGAAACTACGAGTTTGACTCGGAATAATTAATAAATAGTATAATAATTACTACTTTAGTCTAAGAATAGGGTTATAATAGAATAACGTATATATCACTTTTTTTTTGGATATTTCGTCACACGAAGATGAAGAAATAGGAAGTATTATAGAGAAGACCAACAGTGACAAAATAATGATTAATGAGCTAATTCATTTTTTATAGAAGGTATATTAGAAGAGGGAATAGATTTCTTTTTTCAATAACCATCGTCTTTGTTTAGCCGCGTCGTCATGTTCTTTGGTTTAATAAATCCTTATCACAAATTATTCTCACTAGCATATTATGTATGTACATCAGAAATCTTCTTTTTCGGATGGTTTTAGGAGCACTTTGGCTTCTTTAGTTGTTATTTCGCGTTTCTCTCTTTTTGTTTTCGTTTTTTCTTTCATTATTTACTTAATTCGTAATTGACGCGTCTTGGGCCGTTGGCTGGATGGATACAATTAATTTCTATTCCATTTTAATGCCAAACTTCTTTTTTCCCGTAGAATAATATACACGGGAAAATTTTTGAGGCAGTTTCTGTACCTTATAATATGGTGCATCTGTTATCCCTATCAAAAATTTTACATTTCAATTCACTTCACACTTATTATTTCCTATTGTTTTTATATAAAGTGAAGTTAATTATTGGACAAACTTTTTTAAAGATACAGCGTGTGCATCTTAAATTTTTCCGTGTAGTGAAAATGGAGAAGTGATCTCAGGGCTCGAACCAGTGAAAGTATTTAAAAATAGTAAATACGGACTTTACGGACCAAAAATGAAAAATTATTGACCATTTACGGACCATCTGACAAAAATATAACCAGTCCGAGTCAAATAAGAGAACATTTTAGTTAAAACTAGAAATTCAATTTTTCATAACTATAAAACATGAAGAAATCGATAACTCCGAGTTCGGAGTGATTCGACTCGGAGTGATCCATTTCTTCATGTTTTATATAATAGACTGAGTGATAAAATCATCAATTCAATTATTATTTACAAGAATTTTTAACTAAAATTCTTCTTTAAATCGATTATTTTCAATAATTTTCGAAAAAGTTCTTTGGAAAATTTTAAATCCATTTCTTTACAATATTCAATTTTACGAAATTTCAATTATTCGTAAATTCTTGAATTATATAAATTAAAGAAAATAAAAACTTCAAATAATATTTAAAAAAATTCAATTACTTTTTCAAAAAAAATTGATTTCAAAATTCAATTATTTTTTAAAATTCAAGCTATATTGCTTTTAATATTCAATTATATCTAAAATTTTAACTGAAATTTATTTTTAAATAAATTTTCATTAGAAAATTCTACGAGAATTCAATTATTTAAATACAAAAATAAATAATTTATTAAATAATTGAATGTTTCTTAAAATTCAATTCGAATAAAGAATCGTTATCAACAAATTTTCAAATAATTGAATTCTATCGACGAATTTTAATAAAAAATTTTAAAAATAATTACAATTTTCGAGAAATTTGATTAAAATTCTATTAAAAATAATTGAAATTCTGCAATGAGTTTTATTATTTGTGAAAATAATTGAATTTTTGCAATAATTTGTAACTTTTACAAAATTGAATTTTTTTTCGTGTTTTTAACTAAACATCTTTTATAAATCCATTATTTTCAATAATTTTTGAAAAAGTTTCTTAAGAATTTGCAAATTCATTTGTTTACAATTCAATTTTACGAAATTTCAATTATTCGTAAATTCTTCAATTAAATGTATAGTAGAAAATAAAAACTAAATAATTTTTAAAAAAACTGCAATTAAAGTTTAAAAAAAAAATTAATTCCACAGAATTGTTAGCTGAAAATATGAAAAATTCTAATTTTCAAATATTATATTTTAATCTGAAACCTTTTCAAAATTCATCTTTTAAGAAATTCAATTATTTTCGAAAAATTACATTAGAATATTTTTTAAAAAAAAAGTAATTCTTAGAATTGTTTTATCATATTTTTTTAAAAATTTACTTATCTTCGAACAAAGTAAATTAAAATTTTCTAAAATTTACTTTTTTAGACTTATTCAAAATTTTGAAGAAATCATTTCATGAATTCATGATTATAATTAAAATTCTTCAAAAATTTGATTTAAAAAATTTTTTTTTAAATCTCAATTATTTTTAAAACATTTTATCAAATTACAATTTTTTTTTTAAAGATTTTATCAAATTTCAATTATTTCTCGAAGATTTTACCAATATTTCAATAATTTTTTTAAATATTTTATTGAATTTCCATTATTTTTCAAAGATTTTACCAAATTTAAATTATTTTTCAAAGATTTTATCGAATTTCAAATATTTCTCGCTTATTTGACCAAATTTCAATTATTTTTAAAAAAATATTATCAAATTTCAATTATTTTTCAAAAATTTTATCAAATTTCAATTATTTTTCAAAGATTCTATCGAATTTCAATTATTTCTCGAAGATTTTATTAAATTTCAATTATTTTTTAAAAGATTTGATTGAATTTTCATTATTTTTCAAAGATTTTACCAAATTTAAATTATTTTTCAAAGATTTTATCAAATTTCCATTATTTCTCGTAAAATTGAACCAAATTTCAATTATTTTTTAAAAGATATTATCAAATTTCAATTATTTTTCAAAAATTTTATCAAATTTCAATTATTTTTGAAAGATTCTATCGAATTTCAATTATTTCTCGAAGATTTTACCAAATTTCAATTATTTTTGAAAGATTCTATCGAATTTCAATTATTTCTCGAAGATTTTACCAAATTTCAATTATTTTTTAAAAGATCTGATTAAATTTCAATTATTTTTTAAAGATTTTATCAAATTTTCTATTATTTTTAAAAGATTTTACCAGATTTCAATTATTTTTTAAAAGATTTTACTAAATTTCAATTATTTTTCAAAGATTTTACCAGATTTAAATTCCTCTGAAATTTTTATTATTTTTTGAAAATAATTAAAAGTTTGTGTAGAATTTTATTCAATTTTTTTTTTAAATAATTGAATTCTTTTGGTAAATTTTATGAAAATAATAGATATGGGGTCATTCACAAACTACGTCACGCTTTTTCGGTCTGATCTTTACCCCCTCCCCTCCCTCCCTCCCTTCCAAAAATTTTTTTTTTTTGAACAACCCCTATTGAAAATCATTGAATTGAGGAAAATTTTTAAAAATACTTGAATTTCGGAGAAGAATTTTATTGCTTGTAAAAATAATTGAAATTTTGCCAAGAATTTTATTAAAATTTTAGAAAATAATTGAATTTCAGAGAAGAATTTAATTATTTCTAAAGTGTAATTGAAATTTTGATGAGAATTTAAAAAAAATTTCCAACATAATTGAATTTCTGCAATCATTTGTAATTTCTCTAAAATTATCCAAACTATATCGTAAAATTTACAAAGTTTTCATCCTTTTTGAATTAAATTACGGATTTTTACGGGATTTACAGACCTAGTTCGAGTCCTGTGATCTTGAGTAGGTTTGTGGGATCAGTAAAGTTTTGTAGTTACTTATAAATCGTTTTTTCTTTTTGGGAACGAATTCAGAGTATTGGCAAAAGAGTGGAATGAATGAGCTAGTTGGATTTTTGTTTGTATCAGCGTCGATGTAGATGGGTTGTGATGTGCTTGGAGAGATAGTCGGCCCTGGCGAATTTCTTTCCACAGACATCGCACTCGTAGGGTTTTTCGCCAGTGTGGATTCGAAGATGTCGAGTTAGGTCACTTTTACCACCGAATGCCCTGAGACAAAATAGACATTGAAATGGTTTCTCGCCAGTGTGTTTTCGAATATGAAGTTTTAGATTCTCCTTCGACCGGACACACTTTCCACAGTACATGCAGGCGAATCGTTTATCCTTACGATCAGTCTCTCGTGTTCTGGTGACGTTGAGGGACATTTGTATTTTAGTACGAATATCATCACTGTTACAATTCTCTGGCTTTAGATTATCAATGGCGGACATGTAGGATGTCTCGGTAATTGGTGGACTCGTGTCGGAGATGAGTTCCTTTTTGCATAGAGTCGACGATGTTGTGTTCTCGAAATTCTCGTCCGAACGATCCTCAATGTCGACGGGACTCGTGTCGCCGGCAATTTCCATTTGGAATGGTTCGCCGGTGCTTGAGACTTGATCGCTTCTCTCGACTGATGATGAGGATGTTCCTTGGGATTCGGGTGTTCGATGAAGGCGCTCGAGGTGATGGTTTAACCTGTGTTTCTTAAATGACTTTAGATACCTGAATTGCATACCGCAGACGTCGCATGTGAAGAGTTTGTCGGCTGGGAGGCGGGCGCGATGATTTTGCTCGCGATGCTTGACGTATGCTGATCGATAGCGATAACGTTGTCCGCATTGATCGCAAGTGAAGGGTTTGTCGTCGCCGGGTGGACAGGGATGCTTGAGAATTGCGTGCCTCTGCAGAAGAAGGGCATCGGGAAATGCTGCTAGACACACACCACATCTTTGAGCAAAACCAGCAATTCCAGCGATTCCCGATGCTGTTCTTTCGATTAATGCATTCCAACTGCTCGCATCCAAGCCAAGTGCTAATGATACCTGCGGGAAAAGAAAAATTCTTCTCATTATTATTGTCTCGAGATGCTTTCTTCAGTTTTGTTATTTACCATTTTCTTTTTCATCCATTTCATGTTCGAATTGTTTTCTCTTTGCATTTTCCGCCAAGAAAGACAAGAACATTTCTTGACAAATTTCAATACGAATAATTGAAAATCAAAATTAATAACCTAATGTTGAAGAGTTAACTCAATTTTTACTCAGTAGGAAAAAGATGTTCATCAAAAATTAAAATTTTTAAACAGGGTTTGCCACAGGTCAGGGGATTCAGGAAAAAGTCAGAAAAGGTACAATTGGTCAGGAAAAGCAAGAAAAAGTCAGGGATTTTTAGAAAAAATACTTTAAAAAATTGAATTTTGGAAAAGTTACAAATGATTGCAGAAAATCAATTATTTTCAAAAGTCATCAAATTCTTCGCAAAAATTCAATTATGTTCAAAAATTAAAAAAAAAATTCTCTTTAAAATTTCGAGTATCTTTATAAATAATAAAATTCTTCTCTGAAATTTTCAAAAATTTTAATAAAATTCATGACAAAAATTCAATTATTTTCAAAAATTTTGAAAAAATTCAATTATTTCGATAAATAATAAAATTCATGACAGAATTCAATTATATTCAAAAATTCTAATAAAATCTTTTAAAGACTTCAATTATTTTGATAAATAATAAAAGTCTTTTAAAGAATTCAATTATTTTAGAAAATAATAAAATTCTTGACAAGAATTCAATTATTTTCTAAAATTCTTTGAAAGAAAATTAATTATTTCGATAAATAATAAAGTTAATGACAGGAATTCAATTATTTTCAAAAATTTTGAAAAAATTCTTTGAAAGAATTCAATTATTTTGATAAATAATAAAATTCATGACAGAAATTCAATTATTTTCAAAAAGTCTAATAAAATTTCTTTGAAAGAATTCAATTATTTTGATAAATAATAAAATTCTTGACAAAAATGCAAATATTTTCTAAAATTTTGAAAAAATTCTTTGCATGAATTTAATTATTTTGATAAATAATAAAATGATTAACAGGAATTAAAATACTTTGAAAAAGTCGAAGAAAATTCTTTTAAAGAATTCCATTATTTTGAAAAATAATAAAATTCATGACAGAAAATCAATTATTTTCAAAAATTTTTTAATAAAATTCTTTGAAAGAATTCAATTATTTTGATAGATAATAAAATTCATGACGTTATTCAATTATTTTCAAAAATTCTAATAAAATTCTTTGAAAGAATTCAATTATTTCGATAAATAATGAAATTCATGGCGGAATTCAATTGTTTTCTAAAATTTTGAAAAAATTCTTTAAAAGAATTCAATTATTTTGAAAAAATTTTGAAAAAATTCTTTAAAAGAATTCAATTATTTTGAAAAAATTTTGAAAAAATTTTGAAAAAATTTTGAAAAAATTTTGAAAAAATTCTTTAAAAGAATTCAATTATTTTGATAAATAATAAAATTCTTAGTAGGAAATCAATTATTTTCAAAAATTTAAATAAAATTCTTGGCAATAATTCAAATATTTTTGAAAATAGTAAAATTCTTCGCAGAAATTCAATTATTTTTAAAAATTTCAATAACAATTCTTGGAAAAAATGCAACTGTTTTAATAAATAATAATATTCTTGCCAGGAAATCAGTCATTTTCAAAAAATTTTTATAACATTCTTAACTCAATTTTTAAATTTTTTTTTAATTTTTCAAATTTTTAACTCAAACATTAACATTTTTTAAAATTTAGTCAAATGCTAGGATTCTTTGGGTCTAGAAAGGATTTTTATTCCTCAATAGTTAGTATTTACACTGAATGGATTAAATAATTAAAAAATAAATAATTAATAAATTTGAAATAATTTTCAATTATTTAAAAATTAAATTAAATTATAAAAAAATTATTTCTTATTAGTAAAAGGATAATAAAGATAATCAAAATGAAATTAACACAAACAGTTTGCAGTTTTATTTCACAAATTGTTAATTTACAACTATGATATGCATTCGTTCTTCTAAGAACAGAAATAAATGGTCTTAATTATTCAAATTAATAAGTAATAGTACCCATATATAGCAAGGAAAGCGCGTATCGTGCGTGTGAATTAATGAACGAGTAAATACACACTAAAATCATTTTTAAATTGTTCGCAAAAAAAAAGTTTTCCTCACATTTAACTGAATACTTTTTTTTATTCAACTTGTTCATTTTTATTAGATTTTTCTTTTTTTAACGAATTTTGTATTTATGAAAATATAAATTTTTTTTTTTTAATATTCATTTTTATAAATGAATTTTAAATATAAAATATGAATGAAATTTACTATAAGAGAAAAGAAAGTTTTATATAAAAATATTTTAATAGAAAATTATTTTACAAAATTGTGTCTAAATTTTACCATTGCGTTCCTGTTTTGACACGCAAAGATACGCGTTTTCCGGTTAAAATAATTAATTTACAAGTCAATAGTGATTACAAGTACTTTGGGACGAGCTTTAGAGAGTGTTTTCTTTTTGTTTCTTTTTCTTTAGACATGTGTAAATTTCGAGTTTTACGTAAGTGCATTTCAGAGGAATATTGATAGCAATTTTTTTTTTGAGTATCTTTAAAAATCCACGAAAACGAGTACGTTGTTTAAATTTTTTATGTTTAAGTTTAAATTTTTTACCATTTTCGTATTTTTTATTCACTATTCGCGACTAAAAATATCCGTGCGGTATACAGAAGTTTACCTTCACAAGTTATTCCCAAAGGTGGATAACAAAAGCGAACAAAAATGTCAACTTCTCAAAGAGAAAAATTTCTTTTTTTTTTTTTTGCAAAATCGATCTTCATGTCAAGGGAATGAAATAAAACTTTTCTCAACTTTTGATTTTTTTAGACGAAAAAAATTTGTAGTAAAAAGAAATGAATATTATATAATCTTGAAGTTGAAAAATGAATAAAATTGAAAATGAAAAATGTTTGTAAAATTATAGATTGCTTGTAAAAATTTTCTCTCTCTCTCTCTTGATAAAAAATAGTGTTCGTACTCGTTAACGTTGATTTTTATTTATTTATTTTTTTGGAAGAAAAATACATTTATTAGTGATTCTTTCATTCGTATAAATTACCTGTTATTACAAATTTTTCGTTGGATCTGAATTTTATTATCAAATGCAAGACAAGTGCCGAAATTTTTATATTTTAGAATCATGATTGGTATATTATTATTTTTAGCAGAATGATTTTTTATTCAAATTATTTTGGCTCCTTGTCTTGCAAGAGATAAAATTGTGACTGAAAAATTACTTTCTCCCAAGTTTATGCAGTAAAAATAAGCAATATTCTTAATAATTTTTAATTGTAACTGAATAAGGAGTATAAATATTCAACAACTTCCACTTGACGACAAATTATTTGGACATAAATTTCTAAAATTTCTATCAAATTTTTATTAAATATTAGGAACCCTCTTTTAAACCTCTGTTCAATTTTAAGAACTCTTTTCATTCTTCTAATGAATCCTCTTAAGAAAATTTTTCTAATTTATGTATAAAAAAATTTATTAACAGCATGTGACTGTTTGAGCTCCAATTCTAATTTTTCAACCATTTTCTTTAAAAATAATAAAATTCTTTTCCGAAATTCAATTATTTTAAAAATTTTAATAAAATTCTTATAAAGAATTCAATTACTTTTGATAAATAATAAAATTCTTTGAAAGAATTCAATTATTTTGATAAATAATAAAATTATTAACAGGAATTCAGTTATTTTGAAAAAGTCTAATAAAATTCTTTGAAAGAATTCAATGATTTTGAAAAATATTTATAAAATTCTTGTCAATAATTCAATTATCTTTGAAAATAATAAAATTCTTAGCAGGAATTCAATTATTTTTGAAAATAGTAAAATTATTTTTAGAAATTTCATTATTTTCAAAAAGTCTAATAAAATTCATGACAGGAATTCAATTATTTTTAAAAATTTTGAAAAAATTCAATTATTTTGATAAATAATAAAATTCATGACAGAATTCAATTATTTTAAAAAAGTCTAATAAAATTTTTTGAAAGTATTCAATTATTTTGAAAAATAATAATAATAATAATAATAATAATAATTCTTGACAGGAAATCAATTATTCTGAAAAATATTTATAACATTCTTGTCAATAATTCAATTATCTTTGAAAATAATAAAATTTTTAGGAATTCAATTATTTTCAAGAATTTCAATAAAATACTTTGAAAAAATTCAATTATTTCGATAAATAATAAAATTTATGACAGAAATTCAATTATTTTCAAAAATTTTGCTTAAATTCTTTGAAAGAATTCAATTATTTTCGAAAATTTTGTTTAAATTCTTTGAAAGAATTCAATTATTTTGAAAAATAATAAAATTCTTGACAGAAATTCAATTATTTTCAAGAATTCTAAACAAATTCTTTGAAAGAATTGAATTATTTTGATAAATAATAAAATTCATGACTGAATTCAATTATTTTTAAAAATTTTTATAAAATTCTTTGAAAGAATTCAATTATTTTGATAAATAATATAATTCATGACGGAATTCAATTATTTTCGAAAAATTACATTATACGAAATTTTAGCTGTTTGGAAATTTTTTAAAATTGAAAAACTATTATCTTTAAAAAATTATTTATAATAAACAACTTAAGAAAAAACTATGAAGAGTTAATAAAAAATCGAGTTTTTCTATTTAAATAATTGAATTCTAGAAGAACTTTTGGAAAATTAAATTAATTGATTCAGAGATGAAGTTTAGTTGAAAATTGTAGAAAATAATTAAATTCAGGAAGAGTTAAAATTGTAATTTTTAAAAGTTATTAAAATTCATAAATTTTACTCATTTTTCATAAACATTCATAGTTTCCTGTAAAAAGAATTTCACCAGGAAATCAATTTCCCTGACAATTTACTAACATTAAATTAATTAATTTCAGTAAATTGTCAGGGAAATTAATAAA